ATGGATGTATTAACTAACCTTATTGTGATCATTTCACAATATACTTATATCTAATTATCATGGTGTATACCTTAATTTACACAATGTTATTTGTCAATTACATTCCAATAAAGCTAGAAAAATCATTAAGACAAACTACATAAAGGTGTTGTATTAGAAAATGAGCCCAAATGTTCCTTCTATTCTAAAGCTACATTTCTTTTATTAAGATTTTTAATTGAGACAAATTATATTTATAGTGAGAAGTTGAGTGGCCTTAACATATCATTAGCATATTATGCTTTGATTGGTTGAATGGATGACTGGGCGACTGGACACTTAGCATATTAGGTTTTTATTATATAGGATTCCTTCAACTTTTCATGTTCAACTACAATACTCATGGTTAAATTTTTGCCCAAGGCATTCTGTGACCAAGTGAAGGATAAAAAAGACAACAGATCCCAGATAGTTGATCTCAAGTTACTTTCTAATTAGATGAGCAATGGGTCCACAAGTTTCTAGTATCTATCATAGTAACTAAAATGTGAGTGCTCAAAGTTGGCAGAGGCAAATTGAGAGAAAGGGATAAAATTTAGGTAAAGATCTAGAAATATAGTCACAGTTGGAAAAAGAGTGGGATCTAAAGAAGGGAGAGGAAGTCTTTTAAGACAGGACTGAGAGGAAATCATGAAAACTTGGAGGTGTCCTCAAGTTTAGTTCTACCCCATTATCATCTAGCTGTGTTCACTCTAGTCTATTATTTAATTTCTCTAAGTCTCAGTCTCTTCTTCTGAAAATATTGACATTTATATATACCTCACAGAGCTTTCAGGAAAAAAAAAAGTGACAGAATACTTATAAAGCATCTGGCACATAAGAAGCCCAGATCAGATTTTATTTTACTTTGAAAGCATATCAAGATTGATTGACATTGGCTTCTGAATAACAAATATCCCATTTCAGAGGCTCCCTCTCTATGGGCTAGACAAGTTTCAATGGGAAACATGGATTTTCTTCTCAAATTTACAGCTTCCATGTGTGCTACTCATTACTAATGTGTGTGCATCGGGAATACCATTTATAGTTTTCTCCCTAGGGATTTCTTTAGGCTAGTTGGAATGCCATGGAATTATAAAACAGATGTTATATACTTGAAAAATGTAGCAACATTCTCATTCTTCTTTTTTGTCAGACTGTATTCACTTTTGTTTATATAAAGAAATGCGTAAGCAAATTTTAAAAGGGGATATTTTGGAATTAGTTTCTGCACAATAAATTTTTGGATACATGGACATGTGATGCAAAATCTGCTGGCTCTATTTCAGAAAAAAAATGTTATTGTTTAAAGGCTGCCATTTGGAATGTAATTTATAAACTTGTTTTCAATAGCTATAAAACTATACACAGATTCTAAACAGAGAAATATAAAATAGGCACGTGATGCTCATCATTTCCACACATCTATAATAATTATTTAATATTTTAGAAGTAAAGTGTTGTGTGTGTTTTGATTTCATTTCATGTTTTTCCTTTTGAACATTACTTCTTTTTCTGATTCATACCCTTTTTATTAATGTAATTATTCTAAACTTTCCTTTACAACTCTCTCATTTATAAATTATGAAAGCAGGTGTTTAGTATTTTTCTTAAAGTGAAAATTCTTACATTCATTCATTTGTTTAACACAATTACTGTTGACCAATTATGTGTTAGTCATTGAATGCTAAGTTCATTGAATATAATCTTGAGCAAAACAGTGTCCCCACCTTTGGTGGCTAAAAAATATTATTAGAAATAGAAATTATTGAAATAATTTCAAAATATGCTATGATAAGTGATGTAAATAATAATTGCAAGCTGCTTTTTTAAAAAAAGATTTTTTAAATGATTTTTAGAGAGAGAGGTAGGAAGAGGAAGAGGAAGAGACAAAGAGAAACATTGATGTGAGAGAGAAACATTGCCCAGCTGTCTCATGAACATCCCCTATTGGAAATCAAGCCTGAAACCCAGGCGTTTGCACTGACCAGGAATCAAACTGGCAGCCCTTCAGTACACACTGGCCAGGGCAAGTGTGTACTTTTAAATAACAGTCAAAGGAAGTGACTAGTCAGTTGAGAGATGGCTCTGACTGGAAATCTGAAAGATGAATAAAAGCAGCTGAGGAGAGGATGGAATACCATTCTAAACAGAGGCAACCTATATAATAAAGAGATAATATACAAATTGACCATTACTCCAACACACAAGATGGCCACCCCCATGTGGACACAAGATGACCAACACAAGTTGGTGATCAGGGGAGGACAGTTGTAGGTGATCAGGCCAAAAGAGGAGGGAAAGGGAGTTGGGAGGGACCAGGCCTGCAAGGGAGGGCAGTTGGAGGTGACCAGGCCTGCAGGGGAGGACAGTTGAGGGGGACCCAGGCCTGCAGGGGAGGGCAGTTGAGGGGGACTCAGGCAGCTAGGGGCAATAAATTGGGCTGGCAGGGGAGCAGTTAGGAGCTGATCAGGCTGGCAGGCAGAAGCAGTTAGGGGCAATCAGGCAGGCAGGTAGGCAAGTGGTTGGGAGCTAGCAGTCCTGGATTGTGAGAGGGATGTCATTAGCATCAGAGCATTTTCAAGAGACAGAATTCTCAACAAGAGTCTGCAAATATAGGATTGATGTAAGGATTTGAACTTTATTCAGAAAGTTAAAGGAAGCCTAAGAAGAGTTTTTAAAATAAGTAAAATAAGATTTGTATTTTTAAAGGTCTCTGTGTCCAGATGGAAAAAAAAATGGAGAGAGGGAAAGTAAAAGAAAGTGGAGGGAAATCAGGATGTTCCTGAGATGAAGGGGTTTGAGATGACTGGTGATGGAGAAAAGTAGACAGATTGAAGACGTATGTGGGAAGAAAATGTTTCCTTGATCTTTCCCCCGATTGTTTCTTTATCCTCATTGTACACTGCCTTTTATCTACCTACTTCAGACAATCATCCAAATTGATTAATGGGTATCTTTTGCTCCCTTGTGATCTAGAAAAAGATAAGAAATATTGATTTGGAAGCATGTATTCTTAACTTATGTATTGCATTTTGAATTTTGTTGACTTACGGTACAGTTCTCAATGGTGTGCTTCTACTCTCCCATTTAAGGTCATGCAGATTTCCTTCAGCTTTTCACCTGAGCCCCCACCCCTAAACAATGTAGTAAAGGCTCAGAGAAAGACAGAGAAGCATCAAACTGAGTGTCAAACCTCAGAGGGAAGGTAGGGAAGGGGGGTAAGAGATCAACCAAAGGACTTGTATGAATGCACATAAGCTTTACCAATGGACACAGTCAGTAGGGGCGTTTGCTGGGGTGTGGAAGTGGCCTGCTGGAGGGAGTGTAGGTGAAAGAAGGGATAAATGGTAATTGATGGAGACATGAATGTGGGTGGTGAACATACAATACAGTGTACACATGATGTGTTGTGGAATTTTGCACCTGAAACCTGTATACTGTGATTATATTAACCAGTGTCACCCCAATAAGTTCAATAAAAAGGAAAAAGAGAATATCTAGGTACACATTCACTTGTGGGCTTATGTGAGAAATGCAGTGAAGGGCTTACAATTCTTATACTATTATACTAAGGAATTGAAGTCATTCTTTATAAGGTTGCTACCCTTTTTTTTTATTTTCTCTTTCATAATTTACCTGCTTATTAGTCAGCTGTAAGAAAGAAGAAATTTTTACCTTTTGCAACAGCATGGATAGACCTGAAGATTATTATGCTTAGTGAAATAAGCCAATCAGAGAAAGACAAGTACTATATAGTTGTGCTTATATGTGGCATATAATGAAAAAAATAAACCAACTAAGTGGAGACAGACTCATGGATACAGAGAACAAACTGACAGCTGTCAGAGGGGAGGGGTTTGGGGACTGTGTGAGAGGGTGAAGGGATTAGGAAAGAGAAAAAAAAAAGAAAAGAAACTCATGGACAAAAACTATGTGTGGCGATTTCCAGCAGGAAGAGGGGGTGAGGGTCAGTCAAAGAAGGTAAAGAGGGGATAAATGGTGATGGAAAGAAACTTGACTTGGGGTGGTGAACACAAAATACAATATGCAGATATTGTATTATAGAATTGTATACCTGAAACCTGAATAATTTTATTTAACCAATGTCACTTCCAATAAATTCAATTTAAAAAATTTGCCTGTTTATATAATTTACTCATTTTTTTCCTCATGGATCAATGTATTTTTCTTATTGATTCACAGGTGTTTCGTATAGTCTAAATATTAATCCTTTATTCGTCTCATTTAGTCACCTGTCCTTTCACTGTATTAATAGTCTCATTAAACAGCTATCTTTTTTTATATATAATTAAATCCATCACTGTTTTCTGTTTGTTTTGTTTTGTTTGTTTGTTTTTCTTTTTTGATTTTAGAGAATGCCCTATTTTGCCAAGAGATTGAGTAAGGTGAGGGCTCAAGTGATCATGTAAAACGAGATGGGGTGGTATAGGCAAAGGATGTGGGCTTATGCATCTCAGTTTTTTAATATGAAAAGCAAGAGTATTAATACCAGAACTACATGCTTCTGTTTGTGAGGCTGTTTATGAAGAAGAAATAAAATAATTTTTTAAGCTAGAAAGGTGCTTATAAATATTTGTTGGTTTTATTATAACTACTTTTAATACATAGTATGTTTCTACTAATGGTGTTCAGATAAGATAATGTCTTGGTTAAAATTTAAATGGTACAAAACACGGTTTATGTGTGCTTTTTAATATTGAATTTTGCATGAAGTAGCACCTAAAATTTTGGAGAATATATGTGGTCTTAAGTCACAGAACATAGAATCTTAGTATTCTTACTCAGATATTGGCAATTTACAGATAAACATCATTTTGTAATACTAGATTGATTTCTGAAAGTAAATTCTTTTATTGATTAAATTAATTAAAAATGCAATTGGTAGTGTTAATTTAAAGGAATGGAATGTGCACATTCTCCTATAATTTGAATAATAACTAACAAAAATGTCTACTTAGGGGGAGATCCAAGATGACGGCATACGTAAACATCTAAACTGCTGCTGTGCACAACAATTTCAAAACTATCAATAAAAGATAAAACATCTATCATCCAAAACCACGGGAAAGCTGGCTGAGTGGAAGTTCTAAAACTAGACAGAAGGGAAAAGAAAAATCAGGACACAAGCACTGAAAAACTGAGGTATGGGAGCATGTGCATGATACAGTCTGGTGGTGGATCCTGGCTGGCGGCGGGCATTGCTTTCTTCAACCCGAAGAGAGACAAGCTCCCAATCTCTCTGAAATCCAGTTTCTGGGGAGAAGCTGAACTGTCTGCCATCGGGTCAGAAAGTGAGAGTGGCTTGCTTGCAGAGCTGCGAGCAAAAATAATTGTTTGCTGTGCTGGGGTGCAGACACAGGGACATGCAGTCGGAGAGGAAGAGATGGCTGACTGGTAGCCTTTGTTGTTTGCCATACGCTAGCCTAGTGATGCCCTGAGACTCCACCCCGCACAATCTACAAATACACCCAAGCTCCAAGCAGCAGCTTTTGCATATGAGTGGCCTTCTCTATTGCAGTTTAACCTAGCAAACTTGCAACCTGGTGCAGACAGCTCCAAAGCCTCCAAGCTCTAAGCAGGGAGGAGAGGACTGTGGTTCTTGCTGTAGCTCCTGCAGGGTGGCCTCAGATAGTAGCTGAATTGCACCCCTTTGGAGTTCCAGAAGCCAGTGAATCTAGTGGTCAATGTGAGACTCCAGATTTCAACTCCTCACATCCATAAGTGACACATTCGGGAAGCAGACTCAGTGAGCACCAAAGCCCCCACTAAAGAAGGCCTGCACCATAAGCGTATCTCCAGTGCAGCAATTCTTCCATTATAGACACAGTGGATTTTCACAGCCAATTGGCCTGGAGGCCAGTTCCTCCCAGTGTACCAACAGCAATCAAGGCTTAACTATACCAAAATTTTGCACTAACTAGCTTAGAAAACACATATATGTTTTGGTAATGCAGAACTTCATCGTAGTTTTTTATGATGCTGTTATTCTTTGTGAAAGTACAATAGAAGATGTGATAAATTATATAGTGTTTCCTGAACTTATTAAACTTTATTTCTGGATTCATCTAATGGAAGCAGCATATGCTGAAATACACAACATCTTTCTTATTTTTTTGTCTACTTATTCTATTTGTTACTGGGAAGATACTTTAAAATTTCCCACTATTATTTTGAATTTATCTCTTTTAAATTCCATTAACTTTGCCTGGTTGGTTTGGCTCAATGGTTAAGTGTCAACCCATGAATCAAAAGATCCCTGGTTTGATTTCTGGTCAGGGCATGCTCCTGGGTTGTGGGCTCTATATCCAGTGGGGGGCATGAAGAAAGCTGAACTGATATCTCTCTTTCATCTATGTTTCCATCTCTTGATCCCTCTCCTTTCCTCTCTCTCTAAATACAAAAACCAACTTACTTTTAAAATTCCATTAATTTTTCTTTATTTGGTTTTAATCCATATAAATAATTACATTCAAACTTGGAATTCTTTTGTCTTCCTCTTGGATAGACAATTTTATCATTATGAAATGTCCCTTTTATCTCTAATAATGCTGCTTATTTTCAAATCTATTTTGCCTTTGTTCCTGGTTCTTGTTTTTATGGTATTTTTTTCTGTTCATTGATTTAATTAATTGAGTTTTATAAACAGGATATAATTAGATTTTTGTCTTTATCCAGTCTAAGAATCTTAGCAATTTAATTAAACTTTCATTTAACTTATATTTCCTTTATTAAAAAAGTACACATAAACCATGTTTTATACCATTTAAAATTTAACCAAGACATTATCTGAAAACCATTAGTAGAAACATACTATGTATTAAAAACAGTTATGATAAAACCAACAAATATTTATAAGAACCTTTCTAGCTTACAAAATTATTTTATTTCTTCATTTTACTTGTACTTTATCTTATTTTTTAAACATTTGATTTTATATTTGCAGTTTTAAATATATTTTTTTGTCTCAAATGTTTATGTTTCTGTCCCTCCTTTCTAGCATTATTCTGGATAATGAATATTTTCATTATTTTATTTTTTCTCTATTTACATACAAAATGTATATATATATGTATATATATATATATATAGCATATAAATATGTATTTACATATATATCTTGCACACAGAGGAAACATAAAATAATCAAATCTTTGATATGTGCTAGTATATTTGATTGTTACCCTAGAGATCACAACACACATCTGAATTATTAGTCTAATATAAAATATTAATTTTATAATTTATAAAATAATGCTAGCACCTTTTGGGTGAGGTTCTTGTTCAACTATTTTATGGGATTGTCTGTTTTTTCATTATTAAGTTGTATGAGTTTTGTTTAAAGAAATGTATTCTTTATACAAGTCTATCTGGTATGTGTTTTAAAAATATGTGGCTTGTCTTTTCATTGTTTTAACAATATATTTAAAAATGCAGACATTTTGTATTTTTACTTTTGATTGTTATTCAATTTATTACTTTTATTCTTTTTTCTTGGTTTTATTTTTTTTTTTTTTTTGGTACTTAAGAAATGAATTTGATGTGCAGATTTTCTATATGGAAACAATGAGTAGAGACTTTGGCTTAAATTCTAGGCCATCAAGAAACAAATCCACAATAGAATTTCTTAGCTTTTATTAACTGCAGAAAGAACACCTCTCAAGGAGAGAGGAAGCATCGTATTTAATCTGGCTCCGCTTTCACGCCTTCCAGGGGAAGAATGAGCTCTTTGCTCAATGGTCATGTTGGTGACAAGGTACTCTGCTCAGGAAAGACATGGGATCCATTCATCCATTTTAGTGCAGGATGGAAAATGAAGCTGTGAATCTCTCCTTCCTCTAATGGTAGTCATCTCTGAGAGGAAGGGTGGGACATACCAAACGTTGGTATAAAATCAGAATAAAATGTATTTGCGTGTGTGTCTTAAAAAAAAAGAAAGAAATGAATTTGTCTAATGTAATGTAAGATTTTCTTATATATTTTCTTTTAAAAGTTTGATTCTACCTGTTTATTTAGACCTATGGTACATTTTATGTAAATTCTTGTTTATGTTGAGATTAAAGATTAAGGTTCATACATTTCACAAAAATATCCAATTGTTCCAGAACCATTTTTTTAAAAGAGTATCCTCTCACCATTGAGTTATCTTTAAATCTTTGTTACAAGATATATGTGTGGATGACATTTCTGGACTCTATTCTATTCCTTTTTTTATTATGCCAATACCACATTGTTTTTATTACTGAAAATTTATGGAAGTATTGGAGTCAGATAATTATCTTTTTCAAAATTATCTTGACTCTTTTAAGTACTTTGCATTTATGTATAAACTAATCCCCCCTTATTCCCTGTTTCTCTTTCCATGGTTTCAGTTACCAACAGTCAACCACTATATGAAAATACTGAATGGAAAATTCTAGAAATAAGTAATTTATATGTTTTAAACTATGCATCATTCTGAGTAGTCTGAAATCTTGTGCTGTTTTGTTCAATCTTGCCTGAGGTGAATCATCCCTTTTTCTAGCATATCCATGCTGTATATGCTATCTATCTGTTAGTTGCTTAGTAGCTATCTTGGTTGTAAGTTGGAGAGAGAAAGAGAAAGAAAACATTCATAAGACTTTATTACAGAATATTGTTCTATTTTATTATTGTTGCTATTAATCTCCTATTATGCCTAATTTCTAAGTTAAACTTCATTACAGGTATGTATATATATATATTTAGGGAAAAATAATATATATAGGATTTAGTACTATCCGCAGTTTGAGGCAACCACTGGGGTTCTTGGACCATATTCCCCAAGGATAAGAAGGGACTACTATAAGTTTAAACATCTTGCCTCTCAATTTCTTAAAAAACAAAAACACCCTGGTTTTTATTACCTTGAATCTATAGATTAATTTGGAGAGAAGTGACATATTAGACAATTTAAATCTTCTGATACATAGTCATAGAATACCTCCCCATTTATTTAGATCTTTTTATTGCTTTCCAGCAATATTTTATAATTTCCAGTCTACAGGTTTTACAGCAGTTTGACAATGATGTGCCTAGGTATGTTTTCCTTTATACTTACTATAGTTGAGGATCTCTGGGCTTGTTGAATTTGTGGTTGTTGTTATTTACCTTTGGAATACTCCTGACCAAATGTTTCTTCTGCTCTGTCCTCCCTTTCTCTTTTTGAGAGTGCTCTATTTATAAATGTTGAAAAATTTGATATTGCTCTACTGCTTTTTGATGTTTAATTATTTTTGTCATTTTTTTTCCTCTTTGTCATTTACTTTAGATAATTTCTATTTATCTATATTCAAATTCATTGATTCTTCCAATGTGTTGAGTCTATTGATTAATCCATTAAAATTTTTATATCTTGCCCTGCTTTAGCCCAGTTGTTGAGCATCGACCTATGAACCAGGTCACGGGTTCATTTCCTGGTCAGGGCACATGCCTGGAGTTGTGGGCTAGATCTCAGTGTGGGGTGTGCAAGAGGCAGCTGGTCAATAGTTTTCTCTCATCATTGATGTTTCTATCGCTCTCTTCCTCTATATTGTTGGTAGAGAATTAAATTTGACAGTAAAATAGTAATCAAGTTTTCAGATTAATTTAAATAGGCTATTTGAAATAAGTGAATATTCAAGAAAATTTAATTGTACTGGACAAAGAGCTGTTCCTAAAGTAGTAACTAAAATTTCTATTGGTAATTCATTTCATGGTAAAATTTCTGAACATGCAATAAACCTAAAGCAGTCATATTTTTGTACAAAAAATAAAAATTTAAAGTTATCAAGACTGCATTATAAAATTTACAAAAGCCTCCATTAATCAAAAAAGGGGAGATAGTAGGGTAATATCATGTAAGGAAAAATATCCTATAAGTAAATTACATCCAGAAAACTTTTACTTTACAAACTTAATTTTCGTTTGTAATGCTAACAGTAAGACAACCATGAAAAACACACATTTTGTCTAAATAAGACAAAGAAAAATCGTTTGGGCAAAAATTAAAAGGATCCCAAATCAATTATATAGAAAAGATTCCTTTATTAACTCTTGATTGAAAATATGTTTGTATATTTTCAGAAAACAATTCCAAGACCATGTTGATTCCTGCAACAGAGAGGAGTTGTCAGGTCTGCTCCAACCACGAAGAGAAGAGAAGAAACAGTCCAGAGATGGAAGACACTGATGATGTCTTGCCATACTAACAGTCAGAAGCTATGCATTGCTGCAGGTTGTCCAGGACCAAACCAGGAAGGGTAAGACCTGCATCGCCACCATGTGCCCACTATCCAAATATCATTGCTGGCATGTACACATAAGGAACTGTTTGACATTGAAACAGGGACTCAGAACTGTTGGACAGTGAAATTGGGACTCAAACATTTTTTTTGTTATTATATGTTTATTTCTAGTCTGCAGAGGCAAGAT